GACTCAGTATGCTGAGGCACGAATATGTCCATAGGGCACGAACCAGCCTACCCGGCCTTGTAAAGCAGCGTGCGCTTTGCCGGTAACTGAAAGCCTTTCTCTCTACTTGCCCAGCTTATAAATACAAATTAGAATGGTCTCTTTCTTCTGGAGCCAGAAGATGCAAGTATTGCCTCATATTTGCAATATAGTAGCTTGGCTGCTGTAATAAATGTTGAAATGGCAGTGCCTGGTAAGATACAGACACTTGAAGGTGTCTTTTGGGGAGTCTGAAGTGTTCATTTGGTGAAAGCTATTATTAAGGAAGTGCTTGGGTATTATATGTTGTTCTCTCTTATTCCAGCTAGTCCTGCACAATTTTTTTCTCTAGCAAATTCTACTAATTATTCATGCAGCTTGAAGGAGTGGACTGAATTGCCTTGCTTTGACCCATGCTGTGTGCAGCCTGCCCAAGCCCTATCAGCAGAGCAAAGTTCATAGACAGAGGTTGTCTTTCGGCTGGTTTTTCTTTTTTCTTCCATATGTGTTGTAACACAACTGTATAGTGCAGGAAGGGCTTACCAAAGTGCCCAAAACAGCTGAGTGCTAAGGGCATTCTGCCCTGCTTGTAGAGCCCTTAACCATGTTACACTGCTTGGACTGTTTCAGTGTCTTTTACCATGCTGCTTTCATCAGGCGAAGCCTCCTGGAAAGGAAGGGGTGGGTAGCTGGAGCCAGTTTTGCACATCTTCTGCACTGGTGATTGACGGGGCAGCCTCAGGACAGCGAGAGCTCTGCAGACCACTCTCTCCTCTCTGCATTGAAAAGGCTCCTTGGAGCTTTCCAGGTGGCTCGTATTTCTCCAAGGTAAGCTGTAAAATCAAGGCACAGACAGCAGTAACAGGTTAAACACTGATGGGACATGTGTTTCTCTGGTTCGTGCTGCTTTCACAGAAGAAAGGACATTGGGAGTAGAAAAGTTGGTGGGACAGCTCTGCGAGAGAATGGCAGGGAGCAGGAAGGAAGGCTGATGTGCAGGATCAGAGGAAAACTGAGGCTGTGAACAGACGGACAAAGAGTTGCATTGTTTGCATTGCCTGTTGCAAAGCTACGGAAGTAAGTGACGTCAGATGACAAAATAAGCCGCGGGCAAGCATGTAAGGGATTCCGAGTGGGGAAGGTAATACTCTTGGTATTCCTAATTTTGCTCAGTACGCCAGAATCAGCTGAGCAGCAGACAAAGACTGAGGCACACAATTTAAAACCAGCAAGGTGCTGAAATGAACGTGTGTGAATGTCTTCATTGAATTTGGTGGGTCGTCCCACTGG